GAGAGAGAGAGAGAGAGAGAGAGAGAGAGAGAGAGAGAGAGAGAGAGAGAGAGAGAGGATACTTCAATCTATACTCCTTCAATCAGTATGTTTTCTTGCTAATCCTTAAGGGTGAAGATCAGGTTGAGTGAGGAGTACTCAGTAACTGGCTTGTCACTAGTGATCTGCCTCATGTCCTCTATCCTAAACCCCAACAGATCTTCCTTTTGCTTCACTGAATTCTCTAGAATGATTTACATGCTCTCAGCTGTGCTATGTTTTAGTCACAGAAACACAAACTTTTCATCGACCCTCCCGTAATGATCCCACCACTGGCTTTCAGTCCACCGATGTGGTCACCAGGCCGTCTCCACTTTCCCCTTACAAACTCAAGTTCGTTCACTTCCCACTTCATTCTGCCCGCATTTCCCCCGTCCAAAGCCTCCTGTTCACCTATCGCCTCCCACTCATCTCCACCCCAAGCTCCCTCCCTTGAATGACTTCTTGTCCCACCCTAGCAGTCTCTACATCGCTTTCAGAATAATATCACGAAAATTTCACTGTGTACAGAGCACCCCTGCTTCTAAACTTGATTTGTCTCCTTGTTACTGTGGCCATGAAGGATCAGAGCTCACACAGCCGCTCTAACCCACCCTGTCAGTCCTCATCCTGAAGTTCACCTGAGTCTAACCAGATGCACCACTGTGTCCCCTTGTGGTTGTTTAAATGAGAAAGAGCCCGTGGCTGCTTATCTTTGAATGTTTCTCTCCTAGTTGGTGGACTGTTTAGGGAGGATTAGGAGGCATGGGTTTCTTGAAAGAGATGTGCTATACCAGGGGTGGGCTTTGGAGTTTCAAAAGCCCACGCCAGACCTAGTCTTAATCTTTCTCTCTGCCTCCTGCCTGTGAATCAAAGATGTAAGCTCTCAGCTGCCCCATGGCCATGCCTGCCTGCAGTCATGCTTCCCACCATGATAATCATAGACTACCCCTCTGAAATTATTTATAAGCAAGCCCCCCAATTTAATGTTCCCTTCTGCAGGTTTTCTTGGTCATGGTGTCTCTTCACAGCAATAGAATAGTAAATAAGATAACCCGCCCCCAAAGGACAGTTTCCTTCCTCCCGAGGACCATCTTATCAACTCTCACTGCCCTGTACACTGTGATCACATCTGAGGCTATGTCTGCCACCTTTCTACCTTCTTTAGTCTCATTCATAATGTAACTCCTCCAGGAAGCCTTCCCTGATATTCAAAACACACATAGAGGGCCACATACTTAAAAGAAAACTTACAAACACTGCCTTTGGGGTCCAACAAGATGGCTGAGCCAGTAAAGTTACTAGCCTACAATGTATGACCACCTGACTTTTGATCCATGGGTCCTACTTGGTGGAAGAAAAGAACTAACTACTTAAGCTGTCCTCTGACCTCAACACATGTACCATGACAACACAAAATAAACCAATAATTAAATAAATTAATAAACAATAAATGTGGGCTAGATGGGTGACTCACCAGTGAAGCACGCATTTACTGCCCTTCCAGAGGACCTGAGTTCTGTTCTCAGTATCCATATCAGGTGGCTTACAACTGCCTATAACTCCAGCTCTATGGGATCCAACACCCTCTTCTGAGCTCCCCAAGGACATAAACCCACATGCACGCACACACGTGCACACACACACACACAAATTATTTTAAATAATATTGCAAAGCATGGTGGTGCACGCCTTCAATTCCAACTCAGAAGGCAGAAGCCAATCTTGTCTATATAGTAAGTTCCAGGCCAGGCAAGACTATATCATGAGACTCTGTCTCAAAATGGATAAAAAATAATAGTAATAAATATTTTTTAAAGTAAAACACTGCCTTTTAGCCATTGAGATATTCAACCCTTCCCCCCAAAACCTAAGTTTGAGGGCATGTTAGTTGTAATATCCCGCAGCACCAGGCACTTAGCAAACACTCATTTAATGTGCCTCAGTGAAAACAAAAGAAGGAATTGATGGTTAGGTAGTGACTACCAACACTGTCTGGAAAATGTTGCAAATCCTGAGAACTTAATGGAGACTTTCAGTGGTACAAGGGCTGCATGAGCTGATGCCAGGTTACAGAGGTGCTGGGGTTTGGGTCATACCTTAAGCCTCTGCTTTCATTCAAGTTTTAAACGTAATTTTTTAGTACCTATGCTCTTGTCATTTAAGACAACAGTAATATAGGCCTGAAGGCTATAGTCTCAGCATTCAGGAAACAGACGCAGGTGGATCTCTGTGAGTTTAACACCAGCCTGGTCTACATAGCAAGTTCCAGGTCAGCCAGGACTACATAGAGATTATGTTTCAAAGGGAAGGAGGAGAACGAGAAAAAGAAGAAGTAGGAGGAGGAAGAAAAAGAGGTGGAGGAGACAATAGTAATGCTATTTTGGGGGGGGGGGTTTTTTTCGAGACAGGGTTTCTCTGTATAGCCCTGGCTGTCCTGGAACTCACTCTGTAGACCAGGCTGGCCTCGAACTCAGAAATCCGCCTGCCTCTGCCTCCCAAATGCTGGGATTAAAGGCGTGCGCCACCACTGCCCGGCCTGTAATGCTATTTTTTACTGTTAAAAAATAAGCTGTT